TTGACACCAAAGATTAAGAGTAGTTTAATATATTGTGGTTGATTTCTATAATTTTATAAAAAATATATTAATTTAAATTGCTTTGATATTTAGTGCTAATCGAGAGCTGTATCTAACATCAATGCCGCCAAAATATAGAATAATATAATAATGACCAAACTAGAAATTATATTTAGAAAAAGTGCAATCCAAAAAATATCAAACCCATAGTCATATCATAAATTTCAAGCATGAAAACTAATGCATACAAAAATATCCCACCACTAAAACCATTAATACACTTCGAAAATACTTTGAAGAGGTAAAGAACTACCGGAAGTTTTTAACCGGGCTTTTGAAACAGGCCTAAGCCAAACATCGCCAGGTAAAGTCCATTTGCACCATAACGAAAGCCCGTCAAAACCTATTAAGAACGGCGAGAAGCTCTTTTCACGCAATACAATTTAACGAACTTGAACAGAATTCTATTGTCTAGGCTGTTAGGTTGGTTTCTGCGAATCTATTAAAAAGCTGGTTTCTAGCTGGAATGTTACTTAACTTCTAACGGGTATGTGGCAAAAGACAAAATAAAGAACTCTATCGAATATCTTAAAAATAAATGAAACTATGTTATTTATCGTTAATAGTAAATATGTATAGCTGAAAATTCTACAGCTATAATAGAAAACGTTGAAAAATCAACAACCTAAATTTGTCTAGTATGTGAATAACTAATTTCCGGTTTGAGGATTTGAGAGCATTATGAAGAAGTTTTGATAGATAATGCTTCTAATACAATTTTTTGTATGTTAAATATACTTACAGATATTGAACAAATTTAAGAAGTATCAATAGGTTGTTTCCCCAGTTCTTTCTGAGTCGAACAAACAAATAACATTAAGTACCTACCTAAAAATATCGTTATACTTTCAACTGTGCTGTGTTTCAATGTTCTATTGCTCTTTCTATTGCTAGAGTGTTATATTTCTTAATTTATTCATATTAGATAAATTCAATTGTTGAAATCGAATCGAATTCAAGAGCAAAGACATGCTTTTTTAACTTCTTATAATTCTTCTTCTTATCACGCCCTCTCCTGCCGAAGCTTGGCGATCCAAATGGCAATTGTGGCTCTGGAAACTGCAGCCCGGAAGATTTCCGCAGACGAGCGTTCAAACTCTCCTCAAATCTTTTAGCCATGAGTTCTGGCGTCTTCCTACTGATCTTTTCCCTTGCACTTTGCCCTCTATTATGAGGCGCAATATTTCGTATCTACCACCTCTCATCACATGACCCAGGTATTGCATTTTTCTTTCCTTGATCTCTTTTTCTTTCTGCATGCGCTGGAGTACTTCATTGTTGGTGATCCTTTTGTACCCATGAGATTCGCAGCATCCGTCTGTATATATACATTTCGAAGGCTTCTATTCTCTTCTCGGTCTGTGAATCCAGTGTCCAGCTCTCACATCCATAGAGTACCACAGAGAAGACGTAGCATCTGGCCATTCGAGTTCTGAGATCCGCACTGAGGTCTCTTCTTGTAAAAAATGATTTCATTCTCACGAAGATTTTTCTCGCTTGCTCAATTCTTGAAAATATTTCTCTTTTCGGGTCGCACTGACTATTAATGTTAGCTCCTAAATACTTTATTGAGGTCACTTGTTCGATTGTTTGTCCCTTGACACGCAGGTGTGCATTTATTGGTGTCTTAGAAAAGACCAATAGTTTGGTCTTGGACACATTGAGATGCAGTCCAAACATCTCACTATAGTGGACTACGGAATCTATAATGCTTTGCAGTTCTTGTATATCGTTGGCTATTATAACCGTATAACCGTATTATAATATATAAGAGTATTTTATTACTCTCTATGATATCCTATTATCTCAGAAAACACTTATTGAACTACCTTTATTAAACTTTTCCTCATTACATTCTATCACTTCAACGTTTTCCACTAAACGAAGAAGAATGAAGGATAACTGGATAATAATTTATTCTTCAATTGAAATCTTAAAGGATTAATACATAAATCGTTTAGTTTTATGTTACACTTTTTTTTATGTTTATCTCTTCTGTATCTTCTATATCCAATTTAAAAGACATTTAACGCAATTCCTGACACTATTCAATAAATTCCTCAATAAATTCGTTTGTTTCACTTTATTTTTTGGAAACTGCAATTATAATAAAAACAAAAATTCGACAAGGGTATCCTTCTTCCAAATCGATGTTTATAGAATAAAGAAGAAGTTAATAAGTAAATAATTAAAATAAATTTAGTAATTTACAATCCTTTGTGAATCATAGTTATGTTATGTGTAATTGCTAACTAAACATTACTATATCAAACTCTATACACCAAAATAAAATACACATCTAAAGGTCCGAAACCATCATGTACCCAGCAAGATTTATCAGTTTATCTTTGAATTTATCCGAACTCTACACAACGAAAGGTACTCCGAACTCAGCACTTTAGATTTTTATGTACCTGTGCACACTACACCAACTCAAATGGTTTTGGCCTCCTCGGCCACTGGGGCAGATATAACTCATTATTTAGGAGTTCAATAATGTTAACTTTTGGACGATAATAAAGACTTTCTTTCACAGAAGTTCTTCGTGCTTCTTCTTTCTGCCTGGACAGAGTATGACAGACTGTCCATTTCAAATTTGTGTTCAGAATCGTGTTCAAATATTTTTCAGTGTTAGTTAGTGTTTAACACCACCGATTTAAACAGGAAATACTTCTTATACTTTGCAATAGGTATGTTTTTTTTTCATTCTGCGGTTTGGTTTTGAAACGAAATTATATTGACTTTCTCCAGACTGATGCAGATTTACCTTTTCTAATTTTGTATAGATTTTTTGTTTTAACTTCTATATAAATAAAATACATGTTTTCTGTAATTTACGTATATGTCAAGGGATTATGCTGGGTTTGAAGTTGAGTCTGAGAAAACCGGAACTATAATAAATTTATGAAGTCGTTTATACTTTGGATGATATCTACCTAGTACAAATAAAAAGAAAAGAAAGAGTTTCTATAAACATATGCCATAAGATGCTTCCAGAGGAAGTTGAAAACGTAGATAAAATTACTAAAATTGACGTATCGATTGGACGTATTCAATTGTTTTGGTTACTTCCTGTTTTACCGGAGATGATTACAACTTTTGATTTTTAAATGGCAAATCTATGCGCCACTGACTTTTTTTTCTTGTTTCTTGTGTTAGCACAGTCTAGGTTGTTTAATGCCGATTCTTGGTATTTTGTCGATTTCGGTATCCTTGACAAAATAAACGCAATTTTATTAATTTGCCTTAATCCAAGTCTAATGACAACCCTTAAAAAAATGTAATGTCATTAACTGGCCAAAGTCTTAAATAAGTACACATTGATTCCTCATCAAAAAATATGAAAAAAAGTTCCTATAAATATGAGGCGGAAACGGAAATGCACAGTTTTTAAATTACAAGGGATGTTAAAACTTTAAAAAAATAGGTAATCTGTAATTATCTTAAATACCATTATTTGTTTTGAATATGTACCTATTAAAATATTTTTATTTTTTCAGATAAAAAAACGAGATTTAGTATGTTAGTATATGACATAAATTAGGATTAATTGATGTATTCAATTGTTTTTGGTTACTTCCTGTTTTACCGGAAATGCTTACAACTTTTGATTTTTAAATGGCATCCTTGATATATTTTTACTCTAAGTATTCGATAGAAAATCACTCTGATTTATCATATGTCAATTTTTGACATTTTTGAATATGATCAAATTGAAATTGTAACATGGGGTTCATTACGAGAATTTGACTCGAAGTACCAAGTGTGTGGTACCAAATTATTCGCAAAAAAATGCTTTTTCCAAATATACTAATGAGCCACTCTCGTTCTATTTGAAAACATTGAGATATGTTTAAAAAAAAACGATTTGGGCATCTTTTAACCGGCCAGTACACGAAAAAGACTAGATGATCAAATCTATTTTTCCAAGGCTCCTTGATTAAAAATTAATGTTTTTATCATAACCATGGCACTCTAAAAGCCTAGTACATGCACTTGCGAATTGCGATTTATGAATTGCGAAATGCGTTCTATTTTCGTTCTGATTGGCCACCTTCAAGCGACCAATTGCAAGGCAAACAGAACGCAATTCGCAAGTCCCATTTCGCAAGTGCATGAACTGGGCTTAAATTGAAATTTAAAATACGATTTTTTTGTAAGCCAAAATGTTAAAAGACGACATATGATATGTCATTCTATTCAAAGTGTTATTTTCTATCGAATAAAGTAGAAATATACTGAGGATGTCATTTAAAAATCAAAAGTTGTAGTCATTTCCGGCGAAACAGGAAGTGACCAAAAACAATTGAATACGTCAATCCATCCTAATTTATGTCATATACTAACATTCCAAATCTGAAAAAATTTATAGGGGTGAGCCACTTTTGACGCACCCGGTATTTTATATCTTTTTAAAAATATTGGTAAACCTGGGTAAACAATTTTCTTTGAAGTTTCGTATTTTTACATACATTATTTTAATGCCAAAGCAAATGGTGATGTAAAAATCTGTAGTAGTTCAGACAGCTAGGGTACTTTTCATTAGAGGGTAGTTTCCCACAAAATTGTTTTTATCTTAATTGAACATAATAACAGTAATTTCAACATACTTTTAACACAGCTTTTCATATCAAAAGTTAGGAATTTTTAAGTAAGAAATGCGCCTACCTACTCTTTGTTTAGTTCGAAACCAGTTACATACCAGAGGGGTGCTAAAAATGTTCAAGAAATATTCCAAGTGAGGGCTATATAATGGCTATAAAAGCTTGCAAGGGTCGTAGCTTTCTCAGGAGGCACCTCCAGGCATATGTTCATAGGAACTTTTTCTTTTTTTTTTACCCACTGACATTTGATACACTATTTTTAATTTTTTAACATCAGCGCCATGTACGAGTATACTTTTGCATGAAATTTGTAAATGAAATTAAAAATCTACTTACGCACTGGCACCTTCTTGGGATCGAACTTCTCCACTTTATCCCCCAATACGACCAGCTTCACCTTCACCTTCTCGCACCTCCCGTAGATGAGCTTCAGCTGGTCTCCCAGCTCCTTGAAGATATCGTCCGCGACCAGGGACAACGAGGCCAATTGTTTCAGAGCGCTGCACAGGGTGAAATTGGTCACCGCCTCCAACTCGCCATCGTTTACACGCACAGAACCGTCCTCGTTGAAGAGCTGCACCCTGGACAACAACCTGGGCTCGACAACTCTCTGGACGAACGGCATGATTACGGAGATCCGGATAGACTGAATCAACCAAAGACATCACAAGGGACGGTCACAAGGATGGAAGAAACATTGAGGAGGTGGGTTGGTGTGTTTGAATTCTTCTATTTTCGAAACGCGAAAAACATCATAAGCACGTTCAGGTTTCACTGTTCAAAAAACAATACGATAGGCTAACACTAAGCTCCTCCGCGTGCGTTGATGAATCACCGGATTTCTTACTTTTTGAAACGTTGTTTCACTGTGGGTTTATTAAATCCGATTGGGCGGACACTAGCAATTCCTTATTAATAGATGCGTCGTGTTGTATTGTATATGTCATTTTTATAATAAAAGTTTGTTTCGTGGTGTACGAAACGCGTAGAAGTACGTGATGTGGATAAAAAGTGACGTAGTTATTCAACGCACGCGAACCGGCAAACGAATGACGGCCGGCAAAGAAGCGCGCGTTTGAGGACCCGCGTTTCTGATTTGAAAGTGCGACGTTGCCATGGTCGGACAAGAAATCGTAAATTTAATGATTGTTGGATTTTGTACTTTATAATTCCTTTCGTTATGGCACTGAATATTGGTATTGTTTTCCCTGTGCATTTTCTAGTATTTGGTTTTTGAATATGTTAATTTAAATTAATATCTGTTTTTGTGCTTTAAAAGTAGAAATGTATTGTTTAGGAACCTTAAGAGTAGTTCTGAACCGAGATTTTACTATTATTTAAGAGAGGAAAATTTATATGGACATGTAAAAAATTGTCTTAAGTTGTACTACTATACACCATAAGTATTATTTTTGAGTAACCATTCTTGAAGATTAAAAAATATTTTTTTTTATTAATAAATATGAAAATGGAATTTTTACGGAATTTTGTCTACTCTTATGGTTATAATATTAATCATTTTTTTTTTTTTTTTTTTTTTTTTTTCGCGTTTTTTTAATAAGGTGGCAACTGATAAAAGTTTTATAACTCCGGTCAGCGTAATAGAATATTTCCTTGGTTAATTTATAAAAGCAAAAACAATTTCTAAATTATAATAAAATAAAAAAAAAAAAAAAAAAAATAAGTCATTAAAAAAAGATTTAATGGTTTTTGAATGGCTTAAGTATTTTTCTAAAAAGACTTAAATCTTTTGTTAATGACTTAAACTCTGTTTTTATATTTTGGAATAAGAGTTCAATCACAATCATTTTTTGAAACAACGCTTAAATTTTAGTCTTAATCAGATTATTGCGAAATGATAGACTTAAAATCAAATAGTTTAGAGTGCAGTTAAAGTGATTAATAGGATCCCCAAAGTCTGGAGGTAGAGCAAAGTCATCGCTATCCCCAAACCCGGGAAGAGTTTGGACGACCCCAGACGACCTCAAAAATTTTAGGCCTCTATAAACTGTTTGAGAGAATGTTATTAAATCGTATCAGCCCTAACATCGACAATCAGCTAATACCGGAGCAAGCAGGATTCAGACCGGGAAAGACCTGCACCGCCCAAGTTCTGAACCTCACACAATGAGTTAATATCGTCGACCTTTCAAACAAAAATGGGCACCTTTCCGGAGGTGTCTCTCCACGCTCCTCTGCGTGTGCTCTGTCTCCGCAAATCCCAACAAGCATATGACTAGTTATTTGCAAAATGTATTTTGAACTAATTTAAGTCATTAATTGATCATCTTTCTTTTTCAGGTTCCGGGATATTCTTTTTCATTGTTAAAAAAATATATATATTTCAATATTATTGTAATATAAATCGCAGCTCTAAAAAATAAATGATATTGTTTAGTAATGTGTAATTTATTTACGGTGAATTTTCTCTGAAAATAATAAGTCTTTAATAATATCATTGATTTGCTGTGTAAAGTTAATAGACATATTTTTTAATACATTAAATTATATTAAAGTAATAAAAAATATGTTTATTAACTTTAAACAGTAAGTCAGTGATACTTATAAAAATATTTTTTTTAAATTCCCCCTCTTTTAAGCCCCGCCCCTCCAATTCCCCTCAATTTAGCTAGTACTGCCAGGCGACACCAGGTGGCGTCTGTTTCCATTTTTTAACATGAAGTTAGCATTTCTTTAATGTACCTATTCTCTGACTGTAACCATGACTATAGATATGTAAACTCTACCAAGATCAGAATTCGACCACCAGACAAGTGATCATAGTAAGCTTATCAATAAAGCCCCTTCCCTTGTGGTCGTATTTATTTATAATATTATAGTAATGTTTTGATATAACAACTTCTTGGAGTCTGTTCGCAGATATTAATCCAATTCAGACTAAAATTTTAATGACATATATTTTGAGTTTTAGAAATAAAAATATATCCTCTAAGAACAAACATTCCTATTTAATGATATTGACTAAGATATAGGATAAAATATAAACGGATAAAATTATTTATGTTTACGTATTTATGTTTCAAGACGACTGAATTTATTACATTCTGAAACGAACAGATCCATTATATTTTTGTAAATGACGCTTTAAATCTTTATAGCAGATATACAATACAGCTGGTATTATCTCGATACATTCAAGCTCCCACGCAATAAATTTATGTCTTCGAGAGATTCAAGGTGCTTTTCAAATCCTGCAGGAATTTTTCTGACCCAATTATCAAAGTTGAACAAGGACTTTTCTTGTGCCTCTTGTTGTTTCATATCACCTATTATGTTGTATAAATTACTCAAGCTTTTTTTCTTTAAGTGCTTTTGAAAAGAAGAAAAACAAACAAGAAAAAGAAAATGGACAACTGATTTGTGAAACCAATATTTGAAAAGAGCCTTTTAACGACGTTTATAAAAATATCTGATATTTAATAAAGCTGGTATGCTGTTTTTAATCGCCAATAATTTGGTGCTATATGAGCAAAAAGCTTTCCTTTATTAAATTATTTTAAACACGATGAGCAACATAATACATTTATCAAATATCTATAAAATATTTAATAAATACATACCAATGTTCGTAAAGTAATATAATAATTAAGTTATTAATTTATATACTGTATATTAAAGAATTTTAGTACGAATATTTAGCGCTTGCTAAATCGGCAATTCGTTTTCGAAATACAATGTAACAAAAATGATGAAATTGGTCTTCTCGTGTGTTCATAAATTTAAACGTTGAGACCAAATAATTCAAAAATAAAAAATTGTCTAATATTTGCGTTCATAAGCACTGTCGCAATATATTAGGATTGGCTCACTATTTAGACTGATATTGACTTCAAATTAACGATTCAACTTTTCAGCGTTTCATTCCCCTAACTTTTTCTAACCATGATGTTTATGTTTTTTAATTCATTCATATTTCATAGTTCAGAGTAGAAAAAATAGCAGTAAGAAGATATTGAGATATGTAGCTGATACATTCAGTATTCTGATGACCAACAGTAGAGAACAGAGAAAACCTATTTCCTGACTAGATAGAGCAAAACCGACATAGATGTCATGGGCTCGATTTCTGAGAAACGTTTAATGGCGTAAACCGCCTGTTGATATTTTCGCTGCCAACTGAGATACTGAGGGGTCTTTTTGAATATTTTACCATTTTGAAAATTGCTCATAACTTTTTTATTTTGCGGAATAATAATATTCTGTAAAAACGTTATTAAGGCACTTTTTTAGCCACAATCCAGTGGCGTAGTCAGTTTTTTCTATGTTTGCTCATTTTGTCAGAAATAATAAAAAATATAATTTTTTAAATGGAAATCGTAGTTGACTATGAACTTAAAAAAATGCTGGCGTTTAACCCTTTCCAACGATATAAAGTTATGGACATCTATTTCTAAGAATGAGAGAAATATTAGGTTGTTGATCTTTATATCGAAGCGGGCCATGATTTTGTGTTGACCTATTTGCCTAATTATTTTTTATCACAATTTAATATTCTATATTATTATTTATCTACATAATTTAAAGACTTTTGAAAAGGTAAATTAACATTCTATATTAGTATTAGTAATTACAATTGAAATCGATACAATAAACAAAGAATAAAACTAAAAAAAAGTATTTTTTGACTAACGATTATAGTTCTATAAAAAAAATCATCATAGGTGTTCAAACTGAGCACCCCCTTGTTGAATACACAATAAACATCTTTTGCGCACAGAGTTACAACAAAGGTTACAACAATTTATTAGGCGAACTAGTGTAATAATTCCAAAAGCTTGCCTAGTAGCCTTCTGTAATTCTTCTCTCGTCCCAATGGTTCTTTCCTTATAATATAAGGGCTTTTAATTTCCCCCATAAAAAAACTCGAAAGGAGTTACATCACAGGACCTAGCAGGCCAAGATATAGGATCCCTTGTTCCAATCCAATTCTCTCTAAATTCTCCATTTAATAGTGCAGTTGTAACCCTGGCTTTTTAATTGTAAATGGTAATACTAATATAGAATGTTGATTTACCTTTTCAAAAGTCTTTAATTATGCAGATAAATAATGATATAGAATATTAAATTGTGATAAAAAATAATTAGGCAACTATAGGTCAACACAAAATCAAGGCCCGCTTCGATACAAAGATAAAAAACGTAATATTTCTCTCATTTTTAGAAATAAATACAGATAACTTTATATCGTTGGAAAGGGTCAAACGCCAGCATTTTTTTAAATTTATAGCCAACTATGATTCCCATTTAAAAAATTATATTTTTTATTATTTCTGACTAAAAAGCAAATATAGAAAAAAAAATGACTACGCCACTGGATTGTGCTTAAAAAAGTGCCTTAAGAATGTTTTTACAGAATTTTATTATTCCGGGAAATACAAAAGTTATGGGCAATTTTCCAAATGGTAAAAAATTCAAAAAGACTCCGTATCTCGGTTGGCAGTGAAAATATGAACAGTCGGTTTAGGCCATTAAACGTTACTCAGAAATCGAGCCCATGACATCGATGTCGGTTTTGCTCTATCTAGTCAGGAAATAAGTTTTCTCTGTTAAAACAGACCAATTTCGACCACCCTGTACATGATAACCCATATGCACGTCCCTGGTGAATATATCGACACTTTTTTAGCCTTAAAATTTGCCGCATTTATAGTAACTTTTACCCCAAAACTTTCATACGAAA